TTGGAAGCACTGTCTAACGCGTCTGCCTCCGCGACCGGAAAGAAGCGGCCGTGGAAGTTGAATGGTAAATGAAAAAGCTTCATCCGGAAACTGAGCTTATGTTGGATATGATGTATTCTTCTATTCACGCATCTTTGTCGTGCGCGCGTTTACTTGGGCGCCATCCTTCATTTCGGAAACTATATCGCGTTCATTCACTCATTTTCAACGCCAGTTATAACTTTCTGATGACGGGGACCGCCGCTGCGGAAGCCTTGCTAAAGGCCTAGTCTGCCGCCAAACGGCAACCAGTAGTTTGGGTTCTAAGACGCAACAGCTCAAGGTCTTGAACATGATAGCGCCATCTAATCTTCGGTCTGCAACTTCCCATATGTTTTCCCGAAAACGTTTATACTATAAATTTTTCATGTGGGGTCGTCATCATTACGTGTCCAAACTATAGCAGTTTGGATCTCTCGGCTTTGAGAAAGAACTGCCGAAGTCAGAGTTGTGTCGAACTGCCGTTGCTCAGACTTTGTCGAGTCTTGTAATACCAGAGGTCCTCATGCGAATCGCACTTCTGCTTGTATGCAGAATCACATTCGTTTGATCATTGAGCAGCACTCGTGATCATGGGGAGAGTAGATGCTTAAGCAAATTTGTGACCGATAGCATCATACTGCGGCATTGCTCCTCCATCGCCACATTCCGTTTTAGCTTCTGCATTACAGTGCTCATCTGATTGATTCATCTGTCGTTATTGAATATTACCACCGAATATTGAAGCTTATCCAGTCGTCACTTACGTACAGAGTACTTTGAATGGCATTTCTCGAGTGTATAAGGGCTTCGATTTTAGTTGCCTGATTTTCATCCCAGCCTGATCGTATGCAGCAACGAATCGACCCAGGGAACACTGGTGAAGGAAGCGAATGTGAAGACATCATTTGAAAACAGCGGATGATTTAGTCGGATCCCTTTATCTATGTTCTCCTGTTCTCCCTACTCGGGCTGCGTCTCCATATCCATGAAAATTATGAACTGGGTTGGGCTACACACCCGTGGTGGACAGCTGCACGTACCTAGCAAAGTTTCGTCTTCCTGCCAGTAATCCACATGCAGATTTCCGTGCAGTCATGTTAAGATTTAATGCCTTCAGTAGCTCGTCATCAGCCCCATAATTGCAACTTCATAGTTTCAATAGGAGTACTCTCTCTTAGATTTTCCAGTAAACATAAACGTCTGTTCCACGGTGCTTCTGCCGGGACGGATGTCACGTTG